ACGAAAATCGGATGCAGTGTGAATCCAACATTACGGTCTTATGATTACGACTAAAATTTTTGTACGTGTGATGGCCTTTAGCCCGGATCTGCAATAGAGTTTTAAGCTTTAAGCCTTAAGAAATGGACGAATCATAGTCGAGCATTCTCCTCGAATTCGACTGTAATTGGTCAATTTCTTACGGCTTAAGGCTTAAAACACCTATTGTAGATCCGGACTACTACGTGTATTGTAGACGGGCCTTAAGATCCTACGACCGTTGCGACTTCTATTGTAGACCCCACATAACAGAATCATTTTGGAACGCACACGCTGTTTAGTGTTTCTTCGTTTTTGCGCGTCAATTACGTCGAGATCGGTTGAGACTCGAATTTCGTTTTTAGGTTATAACCGTCATTTATACATCAGTAGTCTCGTGATTATGAGATAATAGTGTTTGTTGAGACCTTCATCATATTATAATGATAACTTGTGTGGTCAATAACTGTCCCTCCACTCAGAGCACAAAGGTAGACGGCAAGCCGATCACGTTTTTTTCCTTTCCTGAGGACAATTTGTAAGTAATTCTTCTACCATAACAATCGACGCATTGGTCGGCGTTGGTGGTCGTTCAATCTCTTAAGTTTTGTTGTTAAATATTAGAAGGAAGAGTGAATGGTGTCGCAACTGTGGTCTAGCATTTAGCAGCAAGGAACCTTTGCACATTTGTGAGCTTCATTTTGAGAAAGGCTACTTCACCTCGTCCAAAGATTTGAAATCTAACGCTGTTCCCACTCTGTTTGTTAAGACAGAAGGTTTGTAAGCCTTGCCATGAGTATACAACTCTGTGCGAAAATATTGATAAATATTGTTTGCCAGTTTGCTCAAAGAAAATAATTATATCTGTTTATAATTTTACTTACTGCATTGTTAATTATTCTATATTAATTTTTCAATTAATGCTATAGTTAATAATAAAAATATATCTACAAACATATATTGTGATTTTTTACTGAAGTACGCAACAAGGGAATAAATGCCTTAAACGATCATGTTGGATCATAAGTGCTTAAATAATTTGATTTGAAGTTATATATTACATATGTCATTTATTCATATTATCAATTAGGTGCCAAATTGATTTTTCGTTCTTGAAACACAAATCCGACTGAATTACAGTAATAATGTTACATTATTAAGATTATTTTAAAGTATACCTTTTTTTATTAGATATATGACAAGCTTGCTATCAATATCGCATATGTCCATCTTTAAATTGCCATTAAATTTGAAAATTTAATGAACATTATTGGACATATATGGATGCAAATTAAATATTCATTCAAATATTTTATTCGCAGTTGACATAACGACGAACAAATAATTTATGTAATTTTAAACAATTTAATAATCCAATTGCATATATTATAACCAATTTGTATATTTTTGTTATGTTATTAATACAATTGCTGAAGAGAGGATTCTAAGGATTGAAACATCTTGCTATGTATAATAAACTTTAATTGCAATAACATTTAGCATTGGTCCTCAAAGGACTTTTTATTTTATTTAATTTATTAGAGCCTATAGAAATTCTATTGTCCATATCTTTTTTTATTCTTATGCTTCTAATAAAGTTTTTATGAATTATTGTATGATATTGTAATAAAAAAAAATTTATATATATATGTATCTTTCTATAGAAACTTCAAAAGAACAAAAAGCAAAGAATATGTCACAGGTGATGTCAGTGAAAGTATCAGCTAAACGGAGAAAGTTAGATGAACATTCGCATGCTTCAATGACACCGTTACAGAGTCCATCCGTGCAGAATAATGTAAGCTTATTTTTTATTTGAAAAGTTCTCTGGGAAAATGTTGCATTCAACATTTTTTAAATTTTACAGAAAAAAAAATCATTAAAGCTTTTCCATTAGTAGGTTTTTAAAAGTTAAATTCTTTATGACTTTTAATTAAGTAGAAGTATTGTTTATAAATTATTATCATTTGTTTTATAAATTTATTACTTTATAAAAATGTAATAAAAATATAATTTTGTTTATTTAAAATTTGATACAGTGGAAAAATTATATGTGAAGTACATGCAATGGTTTTTCAATATGAATGCGCTGATTTTATATTTGCTCTCAAAGAACAAATATAAAAATGTATATTCAAGCTGTAAGGTCTCCTAATTTTTTTTTACAAAAAAAAAAGATTAGGAAACCTTACAGCTTGAATATATTTCGTGATTCAGATGTAATGTTTATCCACTTATCTAACTTGGGATGTTGTAGCAGGAACTGGATTGTTTTTTGTAGTCAATATACTCCATTTCATTATTTTTCAGTCTTTTTCTATTTATCAAAATTAATTTTTTGTTTTTTATCTTTATTTAAATGTTTAATCCGATAGACATGGACAAAATCATACTATTTGTCCGCTATGTTTTTATACCTAGAAGCAATGGTTTTTCACTAATTGTCAACTTCTTCTGTTTGTAATTCTCTGTTTTATATATGGATTTTTATCACTAGATTTCATCACACATTTAGCCACAATGCGTGCCACAAGCTAAAAGCATGACTTTTCTATTAAAATATCACTTCATAAAAAAATGATGATTGAAACGTTTTTTTGGGTAGTTCTTCATTTAATTAGTATATTTTCAAAATGTTAATAAATGATTGATGTACATTCCTTTGTTACATTGCAGATTGGAGATTTGTTTGGCAGAAGTAAAGCAGATACGTCAAAGAATTATGGATCTATGAATGGTTCTACCATATTGACTTCCGTAATACAAAATTCTCAGGCGAATGTAAAGACATATCGTTTGATAATACAGATAGATAAAATACGAAGTAAACCAGCTCCGAAATGTAAAAAGATACTGCCTCTAGTAACATTTAATAAAGACACAGAGACAATTAAAAGCAAAACGAAAAGAGAATCAATTAAAGGATCTTGTGTTAAGGGTACTTGTAAACTGAAAAAATGTATATATCAATCAAAACTAGCATTTCAATGCGAAATATGTGATAAATATTTTTTTGAAATGAAACCGCTATTCAAAAGCTACCCTTGTGCTAAATGTTCTTCGTCTTTTTCTGATCTACAATCATTATGTGCACACATCAACAAAATACATTTTACTTGCGATATTTGTCTGACAGAATGTAGCTCTCAAATGATATATGACAAGCATTCAAAATTGCATATTAATACCAAATCGAAACATCCATACAAGTGTCACTTGTGTGGCAAAATATTTGATCTGAAAAATAATATTAAGCAGCATTACCTGCAAGAACATCCTAAAATAAGTCTACAGAACACTGTTGTTCAAGTTACTTCTCCTATAACTACGATAGTTCCTCAACAAACTGATTATTCATGTACAAACTGCAATATTAATTTTACAAGCGATCAAGCTTACAGGTAAACTTGTATTTCTATAAAAAGAATTATTCTTTAAGAGAATTTTGTTGTAAATATTATTGTATTATAATTATGCTTATACAGCGTAATTATAAGCATATGCTTGTATAGTCGTTAATTTAAGAAGTAATATACTACATAAATAACAATTAAGATTTTATTTCATAAAATATTAATATATTAAGTATATATTTCTTTATACATTTTCTTCTAATGCTATTAATATTACAGGAATCACATATGCTCTAATGAAAAGAAGGAAAGCATTACATGTAACATTAAAAGCGATGCTAAGAAGATAATACCTGTACCGAATCCTTTAACCGGAAGTCAAATAGGCATTCTTCAGGCGGTGAAATTCAGTTGTCGAGTGTGCTCGAAAGAGTTCGACAACGTTAAGGAAGTTGATTTGCACACAAGGACTCACTTAGAGGTACCCGAGGAAGATCTTAAATGTAATATATGTAAGAAACTCTTTAAGAGCAGCACGATATTCACTGAGCATTTAAAACAGCACTTGGAGCGCGCGCATGTCTGTCCAATTTGCTCGAAAGTCTTTATCAATAAAATTTCTTTGAATAATCATTTGAAGATGCATACTAAAGTGGTGGAGTAATATAGCTTCACATTTGACACACATTAAAAATAAACTTTATCATGGATATTTTTTGTAAACGTTATTCTTTAAGAGAGAGACTCTCACGTGCGAAATACAATGTTTAAAAGATTATTATCAATTTGTGTAACTTGTGTGTGATACATCGAATTTTAATAGTAATGTAATATATTACGGAAAAGTACACACTTAATGTTTGCTTTTTAAATCAAATGTGCGAATAAAATCGTTTTACTTTTATTGTAATAAATTAAATTAATAATTTATACTTGTGTGTTATTTTTTTCATAACAAAGAATTTTTATTATTTATTATGCAATATTTATTGGATAAATCAACTTTGCAATTGTTGTAAAATTCTTTAATACGAATGGTTCTTGCCTTCCTTACAAATTTAAATGTATAAATCAATCATATTGAAGAATTTTACAACAGTTACAAAGCTGTTTTTTCTGCTAAATGTAGCAATTGCTAATTTTAGAATATAATATTGACACATATAAGAAAATTTTCAGAAATTTTATTTTGCATAGATTATATCATACATGCAGTGAGTAAATTTTCTTGGTAAAACTTACTTTATTTTTCTCACATAATTATAAATGTAAAATATGGTTTAACTATGCCATTAGGAAGAGAATATAGAAAGTATTCATGTAAATATCAAATATATGTATCAGACGAATATTACACATTTTTTATTTACAATTTCTAATAATTATATTAATATTTTTTAATGTGTGTATATTATATGTATATTCTCTCTATACAGAATGAACTGAAGAGCACACTTAGTGTATGTGTGTGTATTATTCTATTCAATAAATGAATTACTATACAAAGTGGGCCAAAGAAATGGGGAATTTTTTTTCTGCAGTATTGATTGAAATTCGCAGGTTGTATTGGTTAGGATTAGGCAAACATCGTTGTGCAGCCTCGTTGATGCTATTTAGTAAACATGGAATGTTGGAGTAATAATATGCATTTGATATACAATTGTATTATAAAAATAGTGACTGCACACAAACTGCTTATAAAAAATTTTGTAGTCACTTCATCTTTACGATTCTGTCATCAGTTTATGCGATTCATCGTTTTTTGAATCAATGTTTTTTTTTAAATGCGAATCGCATGATCTGATGATTGTTGACATGGAATCGTAACGACATAGATGACGCAAAGATCCTTATGAGCAGTTTGGGCGCAATCACCATTTTTATAATATGATTTTACAAATGCATATTGTTAACTAGTTTTATGTTTCATGTTTACTAAGAATGCATTCCATTTGGCGCTCGTAATTTTCGTTGAGCATCATTTGTCATTATTTAACATTTAGGCTATGTTCTATTATTCATACCTCTCGAGGTAAACTACAAGAATATATAATGAAAAATGGAGGGTTCCATTTAAAAAATTCAAAGTGACCTTGCCCTGACCTTGACAACGCCACCTAAGATCAAATCAATGGTACCATTTTATGTCCCCCTCGAAGTCACAAAACTTTTGTCTGAAACATTTTTCGATTTAACACAGTGTTTCTGAGATATTTGAATGGATCCTTTAAAATGAGACACCCTGTATGATTTACGAACGTCACACATCAGTGACAACACACTAAACCAATGCATATAAATGTACAAATTAAATTGAATTAATAGTATTTGTGACTCTAAGGCCCAGTTCCACAACTCACGGTTAACTCTTAATCGAGGTTCAACTTGTTTCTTGTCTCTTTCTAATTCTAGAATTGGAGACAATGAATAAGTTGAACCTCGGTTAAGAGTTAACCGTGAGTTGTGGAACTGGGCCTAAGAATAAATCTAGTACAAGTAAAATTCCTACGTGTGCCTTCACGATTGTTAATGCGTAAAATATGTATTCAAAAGGCGATAAAATAATTCTCTTGCACGAATAATTGTATTTATAAAATGAAATTAACTGCAGCAATTACAGTTAACTTCATTTTATAAGTATATTCTAATTGTTTGTGCAAAAATTATTTTATCACTTTGTGAATAACTTATATAATTTAAGCATTAACAATCGTAGAGATTCTATGGCCGGTATTCTTGTATTTAAGACTGTCTTAAGTACAGTCTTAAGATGTTATGAACCAATCGGAAGACCGTATTAATATCTTAAGATATTATATTTAAGACAATCTTGAAATAAGAATGGATCGGCCTAGACATTTATTTGTATTGCATATGCACACATTTTCAAGTACTGTTATACTTGAACTTTTTGACTCGATTTCTCTTTTTTTAGTAAAAAGCATAGTATTGTTCTTTTATGTGAATAGTCTAAGCTCAGAAATGGCAAGTATAGTAACGTTGTTACTTTTTCCATTACTTTTTATAATAATAATAATAATAATAATGACGTTGCAATTTTTTATGATTGTACCGATAACTAATTAAACGCTAAGGTTGCGTTAAGTTTGAGAAAGGTACTTTGTAAAGTACATATAAAACTCGCCATCATTATGCGTTATTAACTGAAAAAAATTCGTTAATAACACATGATTGCGTTACTTTATTCGTTACGAGTAACGAATAAAAATAATTTGTTAACAAGGAGTTTTTCAGTAACGAGTGACTTTTCCAACTCTGGTGTTTCCGTTACCATGATAAAAAATTCGCAACGTCATTACCAAATCGTTATTATAATATTTATAACAAAGTAACGATAAAAAGTAACAATTAACGCGTATTTGCCATCCCTGCCTAAGCTTTAAGTCTTAAGCGTAAGAAATTGATCAATCATAATTGATTATTTTTCTCATATTTTACCGTATTTCGTCAATTTTTTACGATTTAAGATTTTAAAGCTTGGGCAATGCCACAAGACTTCAGTACAAAGATTCGATGGTCGTAACTGAATAACTGAATCGTGAAACGTGAATCATAATAAACGCACAATGTTTTGGTCAACCTACAACTACGACTTACGTTCCACGACTCACAATCAGTTACGGTCATCTTTGTACCTAGATCCTTATTGTAGAAAACCTATTATACGTACAATTAAATGTAAAACTTTTGTATAAAATAAATATCACAAATCGACTCTAGAAGTCAATAACAAAACTGTCATTTCCAAAACTGTTCGATTGTTATTTCGTTTTTGATATGGAATCGTTCGGTTTCGTTATTGTTTACCTTTTAATTGTAGAAGAAGATTTTTAAACTTGTAAAAGGTAATAGCGCGTTGAAAATAATCACATTCGAGTGGTAAAATAGACGACATTCAGCATTGCTGCATCGATTTAAGTCTCGAAAATGTACTAAGCCTTAAGAAATGGACCAATCATAGTCGAATATTCTTCTCATATTGATTATTGTGATTGATCAATTTCTTAATTGGCTTAAAGCTTGTTGTACCTATTGTATTCCGGGACTTAAGCATGCACGCGGTGTGTATGTACCATGTTGTATAAGTAGAGAGACTTCGTGAAAATCATTCCATGAAATTTAATTCATGAGAATACGCAATCAGAGATTACACTGAATGAAAAAAAACTGTTTATTCGACTAATTAATTTATAAATTAATTTAGTTCGTCTTTATTTCTTTCGATGAATATATTATATTTAATTTAAATATATACATTCTCCAACAAAAGAAATAAAGACAACTAAAATAATTTAGTTAAATAAACAGTTACATCAAATGAATCATCTTTTTTTAATATAAAAACTTAAATCTTGAACACTTCAGACTATTTATTTTTATTCTAATATAACATTCTTTCGAGCTTTTTCTTTGATAGAACGAATTCATTCTTTTCTAAAATAGTAAAAACTATTCAAAATATTTCAAAAGCGATTTCTAATTATTTGCATTAGCGATTGTGTGTTGAATTATTCGCTTGTTTTTCGCAGGATCAGAGTATCAAGTGCGAGTGATAGAGATTTAGGACTGTGAAGAGGACTAAAACGACCGCGAATAAAATGAACGAATGGATGAACGAATGACGATAATAGTGTCCTTTGAGATGCCGCGGATGCTCTCGTGAAACGTTTGCAGAATGAGCTTGATTTTTACAAACGAAAGGAACGTCCAGAAGTCATCGGCAGTGCGTAAGGGGCACCTGGGAGAAGAGAAACCCGCCCCCGGTGCCAGAGGCCCAAAAGGTGCCGACAACGGTAACCCGCTGCGGAACAATCGTGCCGACATTCACGGGTCGCCCACTGTCAACGGGGACCACTTCAAACGTAGCCGGCCTCAATGTGTTTATTTGGCCAACGTCAAATTTACTCGTGGAAAAGGGGAGCTCGAATCGATACGCGCCGCACCGCCACGGACATAACACGGCGGCATTTCGCCGTCCTGTTTCTCTATCGCTCGAGAAGACAGTTTCGATCGTTTTGTATCGCGGAGAATTCGTTTCGCAGTCACGGGGCGTGGCTCGTGTAACCCCGTTGTAAGCTCTTGACTTTCATCGTGCTTAAGTTGAGCACGGACGTAATGCCGATTGCTGTCGATCCGTGCGAAGAGAATAAGAATTGAAAGGTCTCGTGGAACGAGTGCGAATTTTCATCTCTTGTACACTATCGTGTAGATTTGATCCACAAATTGGATACGTATCAAATGTATTTTGTTGTTCCGTAAATATAAATAAAACATTCTTCAATCTTTTTCTTATTAGTTATATTAATAATAGATTATAGTTATATTAGTATAAGGTTTTTAATTAGTTATATTAGATTTTATGTTTCAATATATTTATTTGATCCCGCATCAACTGGCACATGAGAAATGTCAGACTAATGAAGTTGTACATTAACATAAATGAACATTCATTGTTCTGGGTCGGGAAAAAATATGAAATTGATAGCTTGTGAAATGAATTATAAAAATATATTTAGTGAGTTTTATGAAAATAGATTAGTAATAAGTTATTTTCTGTAGAATTGTATAGAATTTAAAGAATCTTTTGTAACTATAAATAAAAATAAGTAAACAGAAAATTACACAGGGTGTTCCATTATTGACGATAAATATTTTAAAGATAGATTCTTTGTAA